CCCTCCCTCATTGCAACAGATGTTACAGCTTGGTAGTGCTTTCTCTCCCATGGTGCAATGTGGTCCCACTTTTGTTTATTTATCCCTCTTATTCCCGTACTTGTCTTGAGTGGATGCGGATGCGGAAACTCGCATGTACACACATGGATCTGAATATGAGTAAGGCCTTGCTTTAAGAGATTACCCGAGCTCCGTCATGCACACGATGGGGTTGCGTGACCCCTTTGTAAACCTGGAGCCTGACCTCTGACATTTTGAGGAGCGATGTAATGGAGGGAAACCTCCCATTTCCCTCCGCCAGGTCTCAGAGGCTTTTCTAGTGCAGAGAGAGAGCATTGTGTGTGAGCTCTACAATGGGTTTTTAATGCAACGGCCACTTTGTTTGAAGAGGAAGAGTCAGAGCAAAAAGAGCAGAAACAGGTGTCTGCACTTGACTATGTGATGAAATAGGGGGGATGATTTTGTATTTCTTATAACTCAGGCTTTTCTTAAGAAATAGTCTGCTATTGAGACAAACATTCTTTATATCACACTCCCCATCAAGGTTATCATTAATCAAAGCGAACACAATACCAACAACCAGATTGTCTAAACGATGATCGTGAACTGAAATAAAAACGAGGCTTCACTTACTAATGGAAACTTTACATAATTAACTCAAATAAATTAAAACTACATATGTCTTCATTTTTCAATTTATTGATTTATTCTGTAGATATTTAGATTATTTTTGGTTTTGAATTGTATGTTTTAATTTTTTGCTACACGTTCTTTTTCAAGCCTTTTTGGTTCTCACACCTGGCAGGGATCCTATTTAACAAAAATAATAAAACCCAACACTCAAATTAATCAAAACTGAACTAAAACTAAGCATTAAAAAAGAAAGTTAGCTAAAAAATAGCCTTGAAGTTATTGAAACTAAAATTAAGTCAAAACAAAATTAAAAACTGATGAAGAATTCAAAGCTAGTTAACTTTTCTCCAGATGTCTTTTGTGTTCAAATGATTTCTTCCTGGATTTTGGAATATTAGAAACCAACCCGACACTTTCACACGCTAACAGAGACGTCCTTTCAGGCTTCATATACTCTGATATATAGCTCATTGTGTAGCTCTCACAGACACAGACAGGTTTACAGACTATTACAGTAATGATTGCATACACAGATGGGTTTTACTCATGTCTGCACATTCACATGAATGTAACTGTGACAAAACACTTTGCACAAGCATGATATATGTGGTGATCTTCCCTTTTTTCACAGTCTGATGTGTAAGAGGAAAAAGTCCAGAGTCACACAATTATCTCTTTAACTTATGTGCCTCCTCTAATCCTCCCTTTTGCAATAAAATTCCTCTGTAAAACTCGCCCATGTGGTCTGTTTTACGGTTTCAATTTCCTCACTTTTCATGTGTTACTGCATCTTTTACGAGGTCATGATCGTGGGTACCTGTGCACGCTGAAACAAACTCCCTTCTTTCTTTTTTCCAGCCTGTCAGATGAGCAGCTTTTGTATCGCTGTTTAAACTAACGGAAATGTCGCCACCGTCACTCCGCCCATGTTTCCTGACTATCTCCCACCTTTTCCTCATCCTTATTTCCTGCGTATTTCATTTGCTGAGTAAGAATGTGCTCTATGACCTCCCATGTTGGGAGCAGGGTGTGACAAAGGAACATGAACTCCAGTGGCCTAAAGGAAGTGACGACAGTTTATACCTTGAACTTCATTTGTCAGTTATCAAAACGGTAATAATTGTATCTTTGCTGGCTGTAGCAATAGCTTAGAGAACATTTGGTCGGTTAGGAAATGGGCAGGATGGTTTGTAGGCGTGTGCTATAGAACGGGAAAGGTCAAAAGATCAGTGCGCTTGAAGTTCAGGGTGGGACATTTCTGATGTTCTCTGTAAAATAGACATCTGGGGTCATGTTTCCTTAATCATTTTCTCCCGCATACGCAGAACATTAACTTCCCATACCAACCGGATGAAGATACACCATCATATCAGTAACAGCACATTGACACTCGTTACACACACACACACACACACACACACACACACACGTTTGACGCCTCTCCCCCATCCGCTGCGTCCTCATAAGCAGGGTGTCCCGTGTCCGCTTCTATTTTTACCGGCAGGCGCTGAAAGCCTCTGGAAGCTCCTTGTCAATGGGCATCTCATTCTACGGCCAATAGCGTGTCACCATTTATTAAGTCATCATTACTCAGGGCTGCTCCGGCTCCGGGCGTCTCAAATAGATCGACATGGATAGGTCACACTGTTGCTGCACTCCCTAAAGGGCGAGCCATAAAGGCGTGTTCCAGCACATCTCACTCCACCCTACCGAGGATCGATGCAGGTAGCTTGGGCGCCCATTAGTTTGCCTAATGCAGATAAATGGGAGGAAGGTGATGATCGGGGCAGAGGACAGAGGCAGAGGTCGATGCAGAGAGGAGAGGGTGCTTTCATGTGTCTGTCTACACGTCTGTTTGTTGTGGGTAAACAGCTAAAAAGGCTGTTTGGACTAAAGGGGTGATGAGATACGAGGACGTGGGCGCCACGGTGGTGGGAGTGAATGCAAGACGACATGGATGCATGTCGGCAACCCATCAAGAGTCATTCAAAACAACTGGGGCATAGTGAGAAGGCGTATTTACTTAATGTACACACAATGTTAAAATGCTTTACTTGTTAAAATCTCAAAGGGGAGCTCAATTTTTTAACCAATAGTTGGCTCCAGAAACAACCTGCATGATATTTGATAACTTGCCTTACTGAGTGGAATGCGATTAACCGGCTCAGAAATCCACCAAAGAGAGAAATAAGACACTCAAAAAGTTTTAAACAAGTCGAGTTAGATAATAAAAACCATTTTAAATGGAGGTTAGTGTGAAATACATCCCATCTGAAATATCAATTTAATTCCTCCTTACACATTTAAACTGGGTTATCTCAACCATCTTGTGGATGGTTAGGGTAATCATTTTATATTTGCCCTCACTTTCTCTGCCGTCTAACTTTGGTAAAACTAGAGGTTTAAGAGGTTTAATGTCGTTTTCTCTCCCATGTTAAACAGTTTGAAAATGACTCTCCTACCAGATCTCAGAAGCATCTCAGGGAGTGCTCAATGTATTTTCTTTTCTAAGTTGGAATAAACTCGAATTAGCGTTAAGAGATGGACTTCCTCCCAGTAGACATGTATACATGTTTTCTTTAAGGAAAGTTAAGGACATAAACAGCCATGTCTGAAAACACTTATAACTCCATTTTATAGAACACACAAACTTATAAAAAAAAAACAAGAACAAGATCCAACATGCTGTACAATACATCAACAAAAGTTTCACTCTAGTGGGAGTGCTACAATATGAGGGTACCCTTATAACACACACAAACACACACACCACTCACTTTATACCAGTGCAATTCTCAGGTTGTTTTCTTTTAGTGTGTTGAGGTATGTGAGTTGACACATCAGCACTCGTGTTTATCAAAGCTTTTATCACCTCACCACTGCTCTGTCACCCTGTAAGAGGAAGCAGGAGGTTCACACACACACACACACACACACACACACTCACACACACACACACTCACACACACAAACACCTGCAGGGCCTAGCAGGGGTTTAATGGAGGGGGGGGAGAGTGCTGTTGACCTGCCTTGCTGATGTGAATGACTTAACCAGATACAGGATCTGTCTCAGACTACACAAGTTAACTACCAGCATGTGTTCCCCTAAACTTACAGGCTTCATCTGGATAAGTCCTAAACATATTGAAAAGTTATACTCTCTGCGGGAAAACTGAGGCTTAATTTATGTACGATAATCCGCAAAATGCTCCTAAAATATGTACATTAATATTCTGCACTGAAGAAAAATTAAAGTCTCATGCAAACTCTTGTTAATGTTTTTTTTTTAATCTTCCCACAAGATAAACAAGATAGGGAGAAATTAGAAACTGTTGTTCTGTCTCGCCTGCTCCTGATTTATTTCTCTTAACTTTTCCCAGGGCCGAGACTGTTTTTCTTCATCCGTGTCATCCAGCTGGTTTCTTATTAACTCCCCAACTCACGACAATCCCACTTTCAACCAAAACATCCTGAAAAAGTCATAAATGTGATCAGAAGTTCATATAAAATTTAAAGAGCAGCCTTGTTCAGACCTAACCACTTTTTGGGGAAACAGAATATTTTCCCTATAGTCCCTGAAATGTATTTGAGCAAACACATCGGGACCTGATGTAAAAGCTGCAGGGCATGAAGAGGAACGACACAGGCTGAAAAAAGCTGTTAGACATCACATCCTTCTTTTGAAAACTGTAGTTTTTTTTTGTTTTTTAAACGTGGTGTCCTGAAAGAAAAAGGAATAAAAGACAACAAGAAATCCTTACATTGCTCCAAAGTTGAATATCTCAATTTCCATAACAACTGGGCAAAGTCTCCTTATGAAGACTGTGAGGTATGATAAGGTTCATAACTTCTTCCAAGGACCTTGGGATGAGATATTTTTGGTTGTTGTCTCAAAGATCACTACAGAAAACCTGGTGATTTTTTTTTTTGTGTTCCATCAAAACATAGATGACAAGTATCAGGATTCAGACAAAATCTGTTGACCATTTATGTGAAGTCACGTTGTTTCATTTATTACATTTTTATGGAAACAACCAGTTCATTGTGTCAACCTTTTTTTTTCCTCTTCTGACAGTTGACCTGCAAATCTACTGACAGGGACGGAGATTGTAGATGTAAAAAAAAAAAAAAAGGAAAACTGATGACTAATAGAACAGGAAATCAAAGCGGAAAAGACAAAACTATATAAACCTTGTGATCCACCATAATTCTACTCCACTTTACTTGTTTTCTTGTCATCCCGCCCCCCTCCTCTCTCTCTTGCGCTCTCTCAGCTGCTCTCCCTCCCCTCCCCTCTCTTCCCGTGGATGGTGTAGCTCTCTGTCTCTCTCTCTCTCTCTCTCTCTCTCTCTGGCTCTCTCTCTCTCTCTCTGGCAGTCTGGTGGAGCCGCACACAAGGATTAGAGGGTTTGCTGTGAGTGTCTGCTCAAAGAGAAGAAGCCAGAAACAGACAAAAAATATACTCTCTAGAAAAGGATAGTCTCACTATTGTGGATAAGGGATCTGATTTTCCTTTTTACACAGGCACTCATCTTAATCACGGCAAGCTGAAGCCCTGCTGAGCCTTCACCTGGGTGAGAGAAGAGATAAACCAAAAGGACTATAAAGCCTGGACCTCCACACGGGGAGCCATGTGAGCAGCACTCTCCCTCACACTACAGAGAAGTCCCCCCTAAAGGAGCAAGGTTTTTTTTTTTTTTTTCTTTCTCCCCTCTCTCCTGGAACCTCCACTTTCAGGGGACGCTCCAGGCTTTGCGTACCCCAGCAGGAGACGCTCATCTTTGGGGCACTGGTCAGGGTGTGAGTGCCCCCCTGGTCTGGAGGTTGGCCAGCAGCAGCACTCCAGCACCATGGATTACCTGTTTGGGATTGTAGTGCTGCTGTGTGGGGCGGTGCAGCCTGGAAGAGGTGATGAGCCCAAGCACAACGTACCCAGGCTAAAGCTCTCATACAAGGGTAAGCGCACTCTCAGATCTCCCTGTGACTCCAGGTTATACGAGACCACTGTGGTTGCTTTTAAATGGCTTGTCTAGTTTCTTGCCGACGGGTGCTCTTTTATGCCATTCTTTTCTTCTATTTTTCTGATTCTATTTCTGCCTGTGTGTCTCTTTCATTCAGTCTTTCTCCTTCTTGGTCAGCACACACTGCATCTTACTCCCTGCTGCCTAACCTCCCGTATTCTTCTCTCTTTCATTAACTCACTCCTTCCCTCTCAGAATCCACTATTCTTCTTACAAATAGTTAGATTGGTTCCATATGCTGACGAAAAGGCTCTTGCTTTGAGTTAAATGTATATTTTGGCCACTGAACCAATTTTCCCCTTCTTATAGCACTGTACAGCTCTGTTAAGTGCTCAGAAGCGACGTTAGAGTCTCTGTTTTCATGGCTTCTGTCCCAAAAAGTCTGCTTCAGTCATGACACAGAGTCTTTCTTCAAGGGACCATGCAGGTTTCACAACTTCCCTTTACTCGAAACCAAATGGATCCAACAGTTGTACAGTTTTATTTATTTAAATGGAAACTATAAATGCGTGCTGATTTAATATGTATGCTTTACATTTTATTTTTTCAGTAGAAGGCATTAGTAGAAAACGAGAGGGAGTTTCTGGTGTCTTTTTATATCGTGCACGTGTAAGTTTTTGACTTATACAAGCAAACATATTATTCCCTCTCCTGTGTTATTTTGAGGGGAGACTGCGGAGCGCCGGCTCTTCCTCTCCTCCTCCTCCTCCTCCTCCCCGCTCTCTCTCTCTCTCTCTCTCTCTCTCTCTCTCTCTCGCTCTCTCTCTCTCTGCCTTGACTCCTCTCTCACACCCTACACTAAATCAGGATCTTCATTTTAGCACTTTTCATCTATGCTAGAAATAACTGGCAACATTTTTGGCATATTTAGGGAAGCTGTTTTTCCCTCTGTAATGTCAGTGATGGTAGACTATTGTGGTTCTTTGTCCTAAAACATGACCCAAAGTATACGGCTGAGAGTGTGGTCCCTCGATTTTTTATTTTAGTACAGCCTCTCTCGTAAAACATGCTCTCTGAAAACGGGTTGATTTGCCTTCGTTTTGCAGCCGAAAAACACGAGTGTGTGGTTGACTGTCACCCAAAGCTTTTGGCTCCTCTGACAATTTCAATCTATCTTGAGAGAAAATCTGATTCTTTACTTTTTGAAGGGAGCGATATGACATTTGTCACTTACATTTATTTTCTATCTTTAGCTGAGACGTTTGGCGTAACTTGTGTTTAGAGGCCTGCTATATCACATGCCTTATATTTTAGCTGGAGTGCAGGTTGTAATTGTGGTGTAGTATATTTTCTTTTATCACCCGTTCAATTTCAAAGTGTTTATGGTGATTGTTTATATTTTAGATCTAGAGTCAAAATGCATCTGACTTTAAGTTTTGAGCTTTAAGCTTTCATTATGAGGCATTTCTAGTGATGACTCTGGATTTTTGTGCTCCTCATATCCCCATGTAACATTTTAAAAAGTGTCGACATACATTTACCATCACATCGAAAAATATCTGGAATGAATCACTGTTGAACTTACCTGCTTGAAGTCAAACATCCCATGGGCTCCATTATATCATTTCACACCGAACGGGAGCTTCTAGGCATGATGGGTAAATGTCATCCCTCCTTTACGCGGCCATCTGTTAAAAGAATGCAAATATACTTCCCTCCTGCCCCCTTTTGTGATCGTCTGCTGTTCAGTCTGACAAGAGAACACATTGCCGACAACAACACTCGACAAGAGATATGTCATCGAGCATCAAAGTCTGTATTGAGCGACTGTACAAGTGATGGATGTGGATCGTCCAAACCAGCAGGGCAGTTCTGCTGCGAAACTGGCTGTCATGAAAGATGTACTTTTGAGGATGTACAGTTATTTTTGCTAAAAGTACATCAAAGCCTTGTTGTTTGTGTATGTGTGTGTGCGTGCGTGTGTGTATGTTCTTACCACGTCTGGGTGTGAGGACTCAACACCATCTCTTGCGATTCCCTCTCCTTAGACTGTAAGTGGTGTCTCTGTGTGTTGGGCTTGTGTGGTTTAGTGAGGCAAGAATGTGTCAGGTTTGGCTTTGCACTCATATAATTAGACACCTGGTTTGTGCGTGGGGCAGTGTCTGGCGGCATGAACTCACAAAATCTGCATATTTTATTGTGCTGTTCAGGAATCAGGGCTGAATCAGGGTTTATATATTTGTATGATCACTACCTGCTGTTAGACTGTGCTGTTGTTTCTTAATCCAGTTACATCAGTCTTGAACTTTGAAATACGTACTTCTGTGATAATGTGTAAGCTCGTGCTATTGTTGAGTGTCTATCTGTATCATATGGCTGATATCAGTTTGATCTTTTATCATTATCAGTAGCACTAATGATGTTGGACCCAGATACTGCCACAAATTATTGCATAAATGATTGTGCTCTTGTAGTTTTCTGTGATCAATAACTGTTGTTAGCTTGCACAGTTGTATCAACTTTGTGTCCTTTTGCACATGGTGTAGTGTAGTGGTGGTCTGATACTTATACTGACACTGGTAAAGTAAACCAGTACCGACAATGTTATAAAATAATTTATATAAATTATGTGTGGCCAATAATATTTGAATCGATACCAGTATAGATATTAATATCCTTGTTGTTACCAGTATGCGGGTCAATGTACAGGTCTAGATCCATAACCAGTAACCACCCAAAACAATATTTTAATTTTAACTTTTTTTAATTTAAAATTATCATGTGAGAATTACAAAAATAACAGTGAGGTCATAACAGAGAGTTTAATGCAGTTAAAGCTTCAAAAGGTCAGCAATCCTGTTTTTCTACCAAGACTATGTGTTTTGTAGTATTAAAGGGATACACCTCATTGACCGATACGTAAGCTTAGATTTTGGTATCAATATTCCCTTATTTCCCTTTTTTATAAGGGAGGACTTTGTATTTGAACATCTCTAGTGTAGAGGCATCAGAGTGTATTGTTTGCTCTTAGTGTGCTCCACTAGTATCCTCTGCCTGCGCTTGTGTCGCGTGCCCACAGGTGTTTGATGGTTTTCTTGATACCTGTCAGGGGGACAAGTCTCAGTCAACACCCATGATGAAAGGGATGGCGATACGGTGGGGGCGTCTCCTCAGGGGGGAGGAGAATTTATTTTAATGAAGGAAAAGCTGGCAGACATACAGCAGACGGAAGGGAGGCAGGTCGTTAAGGGAAGTGTCGCTCATCCCCTCTCCCTCTGCAAAGCCGCCATGGTAATTTAGTCAAATAAACCACAAGGAGGAATCCTCCTGGGAAGGACAGTCAAACAAGCATGGAGCCCTTGAGTGAGTCGATCACCAGAGACTTAATCCAGGTGTATGACAGTTCCAAAACAAGGAGGGCCCGGGGTTTGGGAAAGTCAAATAAACACTAAGCATCTGAGCTGCAAGAACCTTAAATGAGCGCTGATGACACGCATCAAGGGACAGTTAGTCAGGAAATAAAATGTGATCTTCTTCTGCCGGAAAGGACAGTCAAACGATTGCAGAGTGAGCACTTTGAAAGGTAGAACGACTGAGAAATGGCGGCAGGTAGAGAAAATGACCCCTCATGGGAATGGCTGGCGCAGCAAGTGAAGAGTAAATGATTTCCCTCTGGGGTCAGTTAGACAGTCAGTTAAAAGGATCCGGCTTCATGGGGACAGAAGTATGATCACTGAAGTTAATGATTTTCTCTTCTCCTTGAGACTAGAATAGCTCTTACTGCCCTCCACAAGTCACATAAGGAGAGGGAGACATAAGACATGTTCGAACACAAAATTGGACAAGTAACAGAAACCAGATTTCAAACTAAAAATGACTCATTATCTTCTTCCAGAGAACATCTGCCAACACACTGAAATCTTAGAGTGAGTTGCTTTATGTTGCACAACTGAAACTTTTCAATGCGGCTGCTTCACTTGTCCAATACTGCAACCATATACAAGGATATACCGATGACACACTCCCATGGATGAGTGCATACTTGCACACAAATCAGATTCCTGAAAACAAACTGTGCCACAATCTCTCGCACTGCAATGATTCATCAGGAGAAACACTGACCCCCTTAGGTCAATCGATGCACCTACACCACACATTGACTACTAAGAGTTAGATCAATCAAACTGGCTAAACTTAACCCTATTGTGATGCAAAAGAAGTAGCCAGCATGTGGCTCTTTAAAACTTAAAAGGACTCGATAAACAACCTGATAATTACCCTTTGCATGGCTAATTATGGAGCCTGCTGTATGACCTCTTAATGCCACGGCAGCCGCCCCATGCAGGCTGGCTGGATGGGTGGAACTAGGGAGGGAAGATGCAGGGAGCAAGACTGAGACAGAGACAGGGAATCTAGAATTGGCTTACAACCATTCAAAATAGACACTTGGTGTGGAACCGCACTCCACACAGTCTGGACTCGGCCCCATAATGAGCCCTACTATGTGAGTGTGTGCATGTGTGCTTGTGTGTGGGCGTAAACATCCCTTTTTGCGGCTGTTTGCATGTGTGTGTTGGTTTATCAGTGTGTCCTATTCATTCTTTATAAGTGAATGAGCTTTGAGTCTCCCTCTCTTCTTCTCTGTGTTGTACTCTGCGGGCTCTGGCCGACAGAGCGGATGTAGATAATTACAAGGTGTTCTCCCAACGCGCCAACTTTGGAGATGTCTGCCTCCGTCTCCTCTGTTTCTCATCGTTCTTCTCTACCCCCCCCCTTTCCTCCCTCTTCTGTGGCTTGGTCGCATCTCAAGGAACCACAACACCGCAGACCCTAAGTACAATCTTCATGTAGGTTGTCTGTGTGTGCTTCTTTTCTGTATGCTGGTCTCCTTTTCCTGTCTCTTTGATTGCAGTTGATACAAATCTTTTTGGCTATTTCAGCTCTATTTGAACGAACACACACACACACACACACACACACACACACACACACACA